TCAAAAAAAGCTCACCTGCACAAAATCAAAGACCACAACGACCCACAAATTCCCGATCAGATCAAAAACGAGCCGGGCGATGGTGAGAAGGGTCCACGTGGCAAGTAGAAGTGAGAGAAGCCATCGGACAGACATAGGTCCTCTCCTCTATTCATGCCTCCATTCGGGGTGGATTTGGATTGGAGGGGGAATGGGGGAAAATCGCGGAAAATGGAGGATGAGGGGTCTGAAAATTCGGAAAAAATTAGAAAAACTCAAGAAAATCAGGGTTAAGAACGATAAAAGGGGCAAAAAACGGCTAGAGAGGGAGAGAAAGAAAGAGGAGAGCGCAGAGAAGCTAGACAGTTTGTCTTCTCTGCGTCTCTCCTCTAGAAAAGAAAGAGAGAGACAGAAAAAACAAGAGCCCAGAGAAACCAGACAGTCTGGATTCTCTGCGTCTCTCCACTGGAGGAGAGAAAAAAAAGAGAGAGCGAGAGAGAGAGAGAGATAGAGAGAGATAGATAGAGAGAGATAGAGAGAGAAAACGAAGGTGAAGAGCGCAAAGAAGCTAGACTATCTACCTTCTCTACGTCTCTCCACTAGAAAATAGTGAGAGAGAGAGAGAGAGAGAGAGAGAGAGAGAGAGAGAGAGAGAGAAAGGGAGAAAGCGCAGAGAAGCTAGACACTCTGGCTTCCCTGCGTCTCTTTTTTCTGTAGGAAAGAGAGATAGAGAGAAAGAGATGCAGGGTTTTGTGCCGAAACCAAAATTGTGGGCCTGAAATTCTGAAGAACTGTAAACCTAGGCCATCGAAAGATGTAAATCTAGGCCACCCTCAATTTTTTTTTTGAAAATCGAAATATAAAAATATTTGTGGCTAAAAGGAAAAGGGGCCAAAAAAAAATTCACGAAAAATTTTTGGAAAAAAATTGAAAACCAAATATTCTAGGCCAACATTTCTATCATTTTCTGGACCGTCTAGCCCAAATTTAGGTCGTTTTCCGCGGTCTTTAGGCTATTTCTGAGCTTTTCAAAACTCAATTTGTTCAAAAAATATATAATATAGATCATTTTCGAAGATTCTAGACTTAAAATTCTCTAATTTTCAGTCTGAAAATGTGCACTTTCTAACACCTATTCCTCTCATTTCTTCTTATCATTCTTTGTACTAAACAAACAATTTTCACAACAATTTTAATAGGATGATAAATTTTCCTCCCCCCCCCCCTCAACAAAAATGACGCTAGTATGTATTGTCCGAGGCACAGACAACAGTAGAAGCGATAAAAAATATTTGAAAAAAAAAATACAAGGAAGCCCTCCCCAAGTTGTATTTGAAGGAGATGGACAAGGCGCCCACCAATCGTTCATGATGAACAAATAAACAAATGAATTGAGAGGAATGAATGGGAGGCGCCCGGCAGCACTTTTCCATGTGTTTATACGAATGGACATTGGGGCTAGGCTAGGGATTACAAGGGGGAAGGGGAGGGGAGTTCAAAAAAAACTTTTTTTTTTTTTTTTGAAAAAAAACTGGGACTTTAGCGATGTGACTGTTCAAGATTAACGGTTAATGGAACAGAAAGGTGAAAAAAATCAAAAAAAAAAATTCGATTTGGAACTCATTTTGGGTTACTGAGGCTTTCACTTCCCCCCTATCTCCGATAATAACGGTTCTAGTCCAGTTCTGTATGTTCACAGCAGTATATCTCAGTTACCTTGAAAGTTATCAAAAAATGGTCAACTAGTAAAATATTCACCATTAAATTTTAAACATTTTATCAGTTGACAACTTTTTGATAGCTCTTAAGACAACTGAGATATGCTGCTCTAAACATACAGTACTGGTAGCGTCCATTGAGGAAAACAGGGTTTCCTAGGGTTTCGAGCCACATTTTCTAGAACAACCCTATATGATATTTATACCAATCAATAGGGAATTTTTTGATCTACCAGTTCAAAATATTTGGGAATCGCCGGATTTTTCGAAATTGAGAACTTTTACCTGATATAGGAAATTTGTGCAGAAAAAAAGTATTTATACCAATCGATAGGGAATTTTTTGATCTACCAGCTCAGAATAAGGAAGCCTGTCAGATTTTTTGAAAAATCTGGTTTTTTTCCTGATTTTTTTCCAAGATTTTTTTTCAATAGTCGGGAGCAGTTTCAATTTTCTAGACAAAAAATATAGTGACCTCAGACAAACTTTTGAATTTAGGGAGAAAATGCAGAAAATCGTGTAAAAAATCTATGAAAATTCCAGAAAAATCAAGATTTTAGTAAAAAAAAAATCCAAAAAATCCCGTGTAAAATGGATTTTCAGTCAGAATTTTCTAGAAAAAATAGTTTTTTCGGACCATTAGCTATCCGAATTTAGAAAAATTAAAAAAAAAACGTTAAAATTCAGAAATTTGAAATCCAAATTTGAAATTCTGTTCTCATTCAAAAAAAGTGACCGGATTTGGTTTTCCAATAAAAATAGAAAAAAAATAGCGGGAATTCAATTTTTTTTTCTTCAAAACAAGAAAAAAAGAGAATGGTGGGAATTCAAATTTCGACATACTGGAGAATGAATTTCTCGAAAAAAAGCGAGAAAAAAACCGCGAAATTCAAAAAAAGGACGGCCTAAATTTTCAGAAAATCTCTCTCTCTCTCTCTCTCTCTCTCTCTCTCTTCCTTACTCTCAAAGGTAAATTGAAAATATAATACACACAAGGGGAGGAAACAAATACAACCGAATTGAGGGGAGGACCCCCAACCTGCGGGAAATCTTCTCATATAAAGAGAGAGAACTGTTTGAAGAGGACACAGAAAGAGAGAGAGAGAGAGAGAGAGAGAGAGAGAGAGAGAGAGAGAGAAGAAGGAGGTAAAACTGACACGCCCCCTTCGAGCGGAACTGAATAGAAATGAGAAGAAAGAGAGAAGGTATTAGGTTGACTTGTCGAAACTAGAGGAGGGGTAGGGGGTCGCCGCGCGGAAAAAGAGAAACGGAGCGAGCGACCGAGAGTGAAAACGATCCGCGTGCTTTTCGGATTTTCAACAAAAACGAAATGGAGTAGTGGGGGAGGAGAATGGACAAAAAACTGGGTACAATACCTTCAATAAAACGGCACCCAGAGGTTTACCTGCAGGTCAAGTGGCAAATCTGGGCATTAGACCTCTAATAGAACTGCCCCGCCCCCTGGGGGGGGGGGGGGCGGAATCCGGAGGGGTAGGGTACAGCTGACTTTTTTTTTTGAAATTTTGTCTGAATTTCTAAAATCTTTGCTACCTGAGAAAAAGCTGGAAAAATATCTGAAATCGAGAGGAGAAAAACCTGGAAAAAAGTCCCGGATCTAGAAATTTTGGCGGCCATGCCTAAGAACGCTAGGTGCCAATTTTTAAGCTTCTTTTTAAGCATTTAGAGCATTCTTAACGGCAATTTCGATGAGTTGGAATGAAAGGAAATTGTAGATCAAAAAATTCTCTATCGATTGGTATAAATATCATATAGGGTTGTTCCAAAAAATATGACTGAAAAAGCTGAAAATTTCTATTTGCGGCACTAATTTTCAGATTTTCAGGTTTTTGAGCCATTTTTTCCGATACAACCCTATATGATATTTATACCAATCGATAGAGCAAAAAATTCTCTATCGATTGGTATGAATATAATATAGGATAAGCTCAGAAAAACGGGCTAAAAAATCTGAAAAAAAAATGAAAAATTGGATTTTTTTTTCGGATTTTGGACCAATTATACCAATATATAGGGATTTTTTGATCTACTGGTTGTTAGGTTTTGCAAATTTTCATCCAAAAAATCGTCGTTTGAACCCCAAGAAAACCTTATTTACCGTACTAAAAAACTGATTTTTTCAGATTTTAGTAGGTGAATCTGTAATAGTGGCCCAGGACTATAAGTTCAGAGCAGTTTATCTCAGTTGTCTTCAAAGCTATCTAAAAGTGGTTTACTAACAAAATGTGTAAAATTAAAAACTGAACAACTTTGTAGTTGACCACTTTTTGATAGTTCTGAAAACAACCGAGATATACCGCTCTGAACATACAGTACTGGATGAGCCTAGTACTAATAATCAATTTTTTGGGTTTTAGGTCACATTTACTGAAAAACCGTTATGATATTTATACCAATCGATAGGGAATTTTTTGATCTACCAAAACCAATAACAATTGACGGTTGCCTAGAAACAACTAAAGTAAAGACATCCGGGAAAAAATACGAATTTATGGGAAAAAAAACTTCTCACCAAGAACAAACCAAATCGAACCAAATTAAATCATAATAAAAAGGAAATTCCATAGAAAGCAAAAATCCTTCAGAAAAAGGGAAAAACGAACAGCTTTTATCTGATTCTGCCGGGTGTTTTCTCCGTTTTCTCACAAATTCCATCAAGAAAAGAGGGAGAAATAAACAAAACCAGCTCCTCCCCTTCTAACTTATTGTCTACTTTTTCCTCCCATTCATTAGAGGGAAGAGACTCTTCACTTTATATATTGGGGGCTCCTAGAAGACCACAGGGGGAAGAATACACCAAAAACAAATAAATAAGAACGGGGGAGAGGACGACTAGCTACTGACTGGTAACTGGAGATGCTTCAGTGTTCACTGGAGGGGGTCTGACTGAGGGACCAGTTTCCTGTCCGGTTAGGTACGCTGGGTGTTCAAACAATATAATAATCTGTTTGTCCTGTGGGAGGGGAGGGATGGGCCCACTTGTACTTATGGGGAAGATGGTCCGGATTAGGGAAAATATTTCTTATTTGGTTGTTTTATTCATTTGGATGATAGGCAAATATGGGGAAATTCTGATGGAATTCGGTACTAGAGGTGGGTCAGTTGGGGCCCAGTGGAGGGCAAATAAGGGATAAGCTTGGCTAGGACCAGCCTATTTTTCTATGCATGCTGGTTTTGCTGGAAATCTTGGTTTTTTTTGCATGGGACTGATCAATCCTCCCCACTGAAGTAGGTAGGCAAGGTCTCGGCAAGATGGGGAGCACGCAACGAAAAAACAAAAAGAATTGATCCGAGAGGGGGTCGAACCCGGGTTGCTAGTTTCAAAGACGAGAGTGCTAACCACTAGACCACTCGTAGCCTTCTTGCATTCGTCCATTTTCTTCCCCACAGGGTGCGGCAGAGAAGAAAAGCCGCAGCCTCCTGTACACCCTCCCCCTCTATTTCGTCTCCTGCCCCCTTGGCCTAGCGGCTAGCGCTCCAGTTTTAGAAATTTTCAACGCGGGTTCGACCCCCACCCGGCGCAATTTTTTTTGTTTTTTCTTTTACACATTTTGTGGGGTAGTTTTACCGCCCAGAAACACATTTTTCAGCTCTTAAACCGATTTTTTGCGGCCAAAAATCCAGATTTGCACTAGCAGCTTCATTTTGAACCCCAGAAAAAGCTCCTAACTCTGAATTCAATAGGAAAATTTATTACTAGCACCAAAAGAAATCAATAAAATCAATCAATCCACCACCCATATCATACAGTAAGCTTCTCCGTAAAAAGTATTGCTCGGAGCATTTGTCGCATGACTAAATCCAAGATATTGCTCATCTCATCACTGACAGCCGACACCACAAAGTCGCTAAATTCGGAGAACATCATTTCAGTACGGGCTTTTCGCTCGTTGGTTCCCATTTTGATGTTTTTCAGCGCTTGGAGATGGACAATCGTGTAGTGGGTCTGGAAATGAAGGTATGGGGTTTTTGTAGTTTGTAGTCTTTGTAGCCTTTGTAGTTTGTAGCCTTTGTAGTCCTTGTAGTTTTCTATTCTTAGACCCAAGCTTCAGATAGTGAACCTTCATTACTGCTCATAAGCAACAAGCCCTTAGCTCAAGATCTGCTGATTTGATGATTTTGTAGTTTGTAGTTTTTGTAGTCTTTGTAGTCTTTGTAGTCTGTACCCCCCATTCTAAGACCCCCACTAACCTTCTCCGCAATCTCCTGCAACCTCTCATCCTGTGCCAACTTCAACAAAATCGCCTCGGCCTTGTAGGCATTATAGGACTGTTGGACCTCGGTCCGCAGAGTCCCCACTAGCACGTCCAGCTCAGTCATCTGGAAAAACCTCTATTAGAACGGCAGGGTCCCCCTTGACTCACCTTCCGAACTTGCGCGATCCCAGGGGTCCTGTAAATCGCCATAAATTGTTCGATGGCTTCATTGGTGGCATTGATCAAGAATGGGGGCTTGGGGGCGGGCTCCAAGGTGACCTGGAATTTCGGGGACTAGAAATTTTTTTGGAAATTTAGGCCGCCCCCAAAAAATCGAACCTGATCAGTCCGATATCCACCGACCTCATCCAAATTGAACTGGCGAACGTCGACAGTCATTTTCTTAGCGGCCATGGCTAAGCCAAGAAATACAGGGAGGATAGGATAGAAGTGTAGGAGCATTTTATAATAAGAATAAGTATAATACGATATAAAAGGAGCACACACACACACACACAGAAGGGAAACAATACGTCAAAATGGTTTGCGGTATTGAGCGGTAGGGGGGTGAAATGTTTGTGTGTTGACACTCTGTATACTTGATATATCCGTCCGTTCGGGAAGCAAAAGGATAGGTTGGATACTTTTCTAAGATCCTTTGTTACTGTGGAGGCGGAGCTTAAGGGCAGGACACGTGGAAACTCGGAATTGATCTCCCACATTCCCAACACTGCAGAGAAAGTGGGGTCACCAGCAGGGCTGTGCGGAAAAAAAGTTCCGAAAAAAATCGAAAAAAAATTTTTCCGAAAATTTCGGACCGAAAAATCGAAAAATGATTTTTCGGATTTTTTTGGGATTTTTAGGTTTTTTTTCAGGAAGAATGGATAAAAAGACGGTAAAAACATACATTTATACAACTAAAAGACGGTTTTTTTTCAATAATATTTTCCCTGGACATACATAACTCCTAACCCCTCTCATTATTCCAGGCCCACTACACGATTGTCCATCTTCAAGCGCTGAAAAACATCAAAATGGGAACAAACGAGAGAAAAGCCCGTACTGAAATGATGTTCTCCGAGTTCAGTGATTTTGTGGTGTCGGCTGTTAGTGATGAGATGAGCAATATCCTCGATTTAGTCATGCGACAAATGCTTCGAGCAATACTTTTTACCGAGAAGCTTACTGTATAGGATGGGTGGTGGTTTTAAAACTTATCGATTTTTGTGGTGCTAAATTTTTTGGTAGAATGAATGAATGATTTATCGATTTTTTGAGAATTTTTTTGAGCACAATTTTTAATCAAAATCTCTATAAAATCACGTATTCTAAGCTATCATTAAGAGCGTGCACCACTCTTTTTGCGGAGGAATTCTGGAGGCACACCTATAATTATCTAAACTTTCAACTCTAATTTTTATTCAGCAAAACATTCCAGAGCCTTCCAATATTTCAAAAATGAACTCTACCCTAATGGACATAACTATCGTAAAATTTATTTACGAAAATAGAACCGTTGCCTTGAGAGACGGTATTGTACCAATAATCAATAACTATGAAAATACTTTGATTCACCTTTGGTTCTCAATTATTACGTTGATACTTTATTACTGGAATCTATTTGGGAAAAAGCAGCTAGATGGCTTATTGATCTACCTTATTTTTATGTATCTCTCAATATTAGCTAACGTTGTTGTGGTTTTTCTGTTATGTGTTCCAGGAGGAAGTGGAGATTACCGTGAGTTGCTTCATTTACTTCAAAATTGGGCTTTTAAGGTTTCTTATAAATTTGTATCTGCGACTAACCTCGATTTCGCAACTACGACATTTCGCAACTGATTTCGGCCAGTAGAATAGGCTTGTACTCCAACAAAACCCGACAGAACATTTTCTAGTCAATTTCCGATCAACAAACAGATCGACCAACAGACGGTGGTTTTTGACCTGGAAAAAAGTTTCCAGATTTTGTTCAGAAATCGTCCCTCTTGCGTTGGGGAACAACCTGCACCTTTCAAAACCGAGAAATACCGGTTTAGAAGACAGATAGAGCACTTGGAAACTATTAATCAGGTCATCATGGCCCACACGTTTAAAAGTGGTCACTTTTTATTTCAAATTCGGATTCTCCATAGTCGAATGTATCTGTGGTCATACATGTATGAAAAACGTTTAGCAACATTTTTTTGAAATTCACGAGCTAGAAAATTAGGGTCAAAGTCAAAATTCACGAGCTAGAAAATGGCGCTAAACTCAAATTTTCAAAAAAGGGGTTTTTTTTCGAATCTCGGCTTACATTCTATTTTCAAGTGAATATTTCTGTCGAAATCACTGGAAAAAGTTTCAAAAACTTTTTTCTAACACCTAAAATTGTCTTAGAATGCTTCCAATCGATTGCAAAAATTAGCAAAAAGAAAAAAACCAACTTTTTCCTCGAACCCGCGACCCTTTGATCAAAGGCCGCGTGTCTTATCCACTACACCACAAACGCGCGATGCATCATGCAGCTTGAGTTGGGTGATAAGAGGAGACGCGTTGAATGGGCGCGGCAAGAGGCGGCCGGCCGCCTGCGGAAAGAGTGCGCTCCGGCGTTGAATTCTCGAGTTTGACTGACCGGTATTATGAGGGCCATACTGAATATTTTGGCTCCAAAATTTTTTTGGGAGATGCTTGGGCATCCAGTAGTGTGGGGTAAAATTTGCCGAGATACATTTTGCCTCTTTCTCGAGTAATCAAAAACGTTTAGAATTGCATTTTTCAGTGCAAAAAAACGTTTAACAGCGGTTTTTAAACGTTTTTCGCCTGAGCCCAAGACTGAATGAAATCGTCTAAAAATTTTTTTGCGATATACTGACATAAAATAATGAATTTCTGACTATGTTTACGAGCTGGAATAATTTTTGCCGAGCTCCGATTCCGAAAACTGATTTTTTTGCTTTTTCGAGCTAAACGTTTGCTCCACTGAAGCTCAATGAAATTTTCCAGCTCGTAACTTGAGTAATTTATGTTTTTAATCATAATTAACAACATCTAAATCGTTTTTTGGCGAACTTCATTGTCAAACGCCGATTTTATAAGCGAAATAAGAAGTTGGTTGCCTCAGCTACTGGGAGCTTGCTCTGAGAACATTGTTAGATTTGAAGTTAATTTTTTTCCAGCTCGTAAAATAGTTCCATCGTGTAAAGGAGATCAAGACGAGCATTTTGAGACCCGTATACGCATATTTTAAATTTTTTTCTGATGAGTTACAAAACAATTTTGGTGACAATTTTCGAAATCACGACCTGGGTTCCCGGAAAAAAAAAATTCACGAGATAGAATAAACGTTTTCCAACATGTATGTCTGTGGTTAAATTTGTAGAAGGCTCTTAACCCGGTCAGTCACACACATCCCTTGTGATAATCTCAATAACCACGTTAATCGCATTTCTGGCGTTACCCTTGCCTTTTACGTTGTTTTGTACTAGTTGCCGAATGTCAAGTTGCGCAACGTCGCAGTTGCGAGTCGGTAAGTTGCGAAGTGACGCGGAGCCTCAAGGCAACTTCTAGACAGAAAATTCTAAAATTTCAGTCTTCCTAACCGCTCCCTTTTATGTATTCTTCTTATCCCAACACTTCATATTACCGGCTATTGTATTTCTACAAATGACGATGATCACAATAATTCGGAGCCCATTTTGGATCATCTTCACACTATCAATTCTGAAATATTCCCTATTAAACTGGCAGATTCAAATGGATCGCCATGGGAAATTGGTTCAGTTGGACTTATTGGACACTTTGCTGTTAGTGGCTACCTTGGCTTTATTTTTGATTTATTCAATTAAACCTATAAAATCCCGAAATTTCGACGAGAAAACCGTATCAATTCTGGTAAATTCTGCAATTTCAACCTATTGTCAGGTGCAATACCAATGCATTGTATTTTTGTATTTCAAGGATTTCAAGTTCACTTGGACAGGTTATATGACAATTTTTGACTTGTATTATATCCCTTTTCTTTGGGTTATATCGCTTGTAATCGTTAATTCGAAGGTTGTGAGAAAATGGTTGGAGAAGAAGAAGCAGGAGGCGGAGGAGAGCAGGAAAAATCAGGTTCAAGTGTCTGCTACGAAGAGAAAGATGGCTTTTGGAGAGGCAACAGTGACGAATTCTACGGTGGCTTAATTTTTTTTGCATAATCTCTTTTTACTCTGAAAACAAACTCGCCCTACAGCTGTAGGCCCTCTCCCTACCCTTCTCTTTCTGTACCCATGGCCTAGTGGCTAACGCTGTTGTTTTCAATTTTTGCGACCAGGGTTCGAGTCCACCTGGTGCGAAATATTTTTGTTTTTTTTTCTAATAAATATTTTTCTATTATAACCAATTTTGAACGTTTCCGTAGCTTTAAACGCGCTCTAACGCTCCAGAATGAAAGTGAACGGAGGCGCAGCTTCCTGTAGGCCCTCTCCCTATATTTCTTTTTCTGTGCCCATGGCTTAGTGGCTAAAGCTGTTGGCTTTGAATTTCGGTACTCGGGTTCGATTCCAACTAGGGTAATTTCTTTTTGTTTTTTTTTCTTTGTCATTTTTGACATTTTTCTTCCTATGGCCTACTGGCTAACACCCATGTTTTACGATTTTGGGACCCGGGTTCAATTCCACCTGGCGCCATTTCTTTTTGTTTTTTTCAAATAGTATTTTTTCCAAGTACGAACAAAATAAATTATTTATTATCTCAAAAATTCAATAAAAATGTACAAAAAAGCTTCTCATCCCCATCAATAAATCAATGAGAACAAGTCCTTATCGGTTAAATATCTTGCCAATTCGCTCTTCGTATTATTATCCATCGAAGTGGATATATGCCTCAAAATTCGTTCTTTTTCCCCCACAGACAACGTCTGATTTTGTTGGGTCATCACGATTCGGATGAGTTTTTGTTGCGTCCGGGTGGAGAGTTTTGGGAGCACTTTCTGGAAAAAATTGATTAGATGCAGTTCTATTAGAGGTAGAACTCACGAAAATCCTGGATTTTCTCTCCCTCTCATCTTTCTCTACCTTCAGCTTCCATGCTTTGTGTTCTTGACGGGTTTTTTCGTCCAGTTTTTCGACGAGCTGAAAACTGCTTTTCTTTCAATACAAAAAAAATTAAAAATTTTAATAAATTAGAACAAAGCCTAGATTATTTATTTTGAATTGGTCAAAAAATGGTCAATGATCGAATTTTTTAATTTTCGAGTTTTTGATTTTTTAAAAATCACTGAAAACAGCTAAAAATTCTCTACAAAATGGTCAAAAAACCATCTAAAAATCTCAATTTTGAAGCATGTTATGCGCCTTTAAAGTTGGAGGTGAGAGAGTGAGAGACGACAGAGAAAACGACTGTCTCTTTCTCTGACGCCTCTCACTCTCTCACCTCCAA